TCGCTATCAAAGCCCCTCCAACCTTCTCATCGTCTTTGATGATCTGATTTGGATGTTGCTGTGGATCGCGACCCTGAAATCGTCATGATATCGCCCAACAACCGTTGCTTGCAAGACCCTTTACAACCCCTAGCATTGATGATGCCTGATACAGCTTAGGAATCTTGATTCCCACCCATGCTCTTTCTGTTGTCTGTTGGCCGGGACATATTTGGATAGTCTGTTGGCCGGGATGCGATACTAAATGCGTGTGCAAGGACACATGATGGTGGTCAGTTTCGGTGACCCGATCTAGCCATGTCCAATGGCATTCGTCGTAATGCATAATCCGAGTACTATCACAGTGATGATGCATTCGAGCTGCCATTTTGTGATGTTGTCTCCCAAAGTAGCAATGCCCCGCTTCTAAACCGTTAAGGCGGTCGGCAACGGGTGTCTTGGCACTCCGAGACATGTGATAGACGACGCTTGACGTAGCAGGCAAGCCCTCTGGCAATGCTTAATCAATGCGCGTGCCGGCTTCGCATTCCTGCTTCCACAGTATGCTTCTGGCGCCGACCTAGAGTGTACTCCTCAATAAGCCCACGATGCCTGGCTCTTCGCGATTGCCCGTCAGTCTACGCGATACGTTCAATGCGCGGAAGAGCTCCGCTAACGGCCAGCTCGTCGCCCTGAACATCGATGTGTATGCGCCCTGACAGCGATAAGGAAACACAGTGTACTGACATGGGTTATACAGTTTGCGCAACATCATCTTTGTCCTCTTCCTCCTCCGCTGGACACGCATTACCTTCTACCAACTCAAAGGTCGCGGCATCTTCGGCTCCATCAGCGATGCCTACATCAGCATCCGCCGCTACCTCTACGGCATCTTCCTCCGACTGCCCGGTGTGCGCGACAAAGTACAAGCCCAAGTCTCTGAATCTCTCCTGAAGCTCGAACGCAAGCTTGTTCCGAGCGGGCCCGGAGTCGAGCGCATCACCAGTCTACCCGCTGAAGGATGGAGCGAAGAAGAGGTGCGCAAGAAGCTGGGTGAACTGGCCGACATGGAGCACACGCGATGGGAAGACGGACGAGTCAGCGGCGCGGTATACCACGGCGGGGACGAGCTGATCAGACTGCAAACCGAGGCGTTTGGCAAGTTCACCGTTGCGAACCCCATCCACCCCGATGTGTTCCCTGGTGTGAGGAAGATGGAAGCCGAGATCGTAGCCATGGTGCTCTCCCTCTTCAACGCACCCGAAGACGCGGCCGGCGTGACTACCTCGGGCGGCACAGAATCCATTCTCATGGCATGTCTCTCTGCCCGCAACAAAGCCTACCACGAGCGCGGCGTCTCGTCTCCCGAGATGATCTTGCCAGAAACCGCACACACAGCCTTCCGCAAGGCATGCGAATACTTCAAGATCAAAATGCATCTCGTGTCCTGCAAAGCCCCGTCTTACAAAGTCCACTTGCCCTCCGTCTCCCGGCTGATCAATCCGAATACTGTGCTATTGGTTGGCTCTGCCCCCAACTTCCCCCACGGCATCATCGACGACATCTCTGGGCTGAGCAAACTCGCTGTCAAGAAGAAGATCCCGCTACACGTGGACTGTTGCTTGGGTTCCTTCATCATCCCCATGCTACCCAAAGCAGGTTTCGACTTTGACCCTTTTGACTTCCGTCTCCCAGGCGTAACAAGCATATCCTGCGACACACACAAATACGGGTTTGCGCCAAAGGGCAACTCGACGGTGTTGTACCGCTCCGACGTCTACCGCAAATACCAGTACTTCATCTCGCCTGACTGGTCCGGCGGCGTTTACGCATCGCCTTCCATTGCCGGTTCTCGCCCTGGCGCTCTCATTGCAGGGTGCTGGGCCTCGCTCGTCAAGCAAGGCAGCAACGGCTATCTCGACGCCTGCCACAAGATTGTCGGCGGCATGAAGAAGATTGAAACTGCTATCCGCGAGAACCCGCAATTATCTCCTGATTTGAAAATTATCGGACAGCCCAAAGTCTCCGTCGTGGCTTTCTTGTCCAACACGCTGGATATCTACGACATTGCTGATGGCATGTCGAACAAGGGCTGGCATTTGAATGCCCTGCAGAGTCCGCCCGCTATCCATGTCGCTGTTACCCTGCCCATTGTCGCCGTTGTGGACAAGTTGATTGAGGATCTTGTCGAGGTTACAGAGGAGGTTAGGGATGCGGAGCGCAAGCGTATCGCTGAAGGAAAAGGCGCAAAAGGCGCTGTCAAGGGCGATACCGCGGCACTGTACGGTGTGGCGGGAAGCTTGCCCAATAAGAGTGTCGTCGTCGACTTGGCCAAGGGCTTTTTGGATACGCTTTACAAGGCGTGAGGAGGGTGTGTGCAGCTGGGAAACCATGCAAAGGTCTCGGGTTGGACGGGAGGACTGGAAGCTTACATACCCATCGAGTATCAGATTGTTATATTCTTCAAATGGTGAAGTCAACACATACACCAGTCCTCTCTCCCCGACGGTGCAACCACTTTTTTTTTTGCTTGAATTAATTGCTCAACTATCGTCCACTACTCGCCACCTAATCCCCTAGCATCCTCCACAACAACCCTGGCAATCTTCTTCAACGTTGACTTGTGGTCGGCCTCACGAAACTTGTCCCACCGATCCAATCCCTCACTCGCGTCAATACTCAACGTCTCATACCCTTGCTTGATAACCGCGTGCACCTCCTGCGGACTAAGATGCTTCCTCGCCTTGCCCTTGTCATTCAACAAGGCCTGATAGTGATTCGACACGTTAATCAGCGTCTGCATGGACCCCTGTTTCCCCAAAGCAAACGCGTCTCGGAACTTGACGAGGGTATCGCCACTCTCGACGAGCTTGTAGAAGAGGTCGTCGTACGCGGCTGGATCCGGTAAGAAGTTTTCGCCGCTCGACAGGGCAAAAGCGAGGAGGTTGACGAGCAGGTCAATCATCTTGTTGGATTTGTAGTTGCTCTTGATGTCGCTTTCGTACGTGGTGAGGAAGCGGACAAAGGAGAGGAGAGTTCGCCAGAGTTCTGCCCAATGGTACGTGATGCGCGTTTTTGTCCGACTGAGGTGGGACAGCAGACGCAATAGGACACCGAGACAGAGGCTGTAAAAAGAAAAAGTGTTAGTCGTTCTCCTTTCATATCTTCCTCCTCCCGCCTTTCCCGGATAGCAGATTGTAGAATAGACTCACATGTAAAAATCCACATCCAACCGTCTCCTTAGATTATGACTGATAGCATCACTCATCATGTCCAACACAACAGCACCTGGCACCCTCTCCCCCCTCACAACCGGCAAATAAGGTTGTCGCTGTCGACACAACCTTACGTCCAGTTTACTTTCCTCACTGCACAGACGCTTCGCGAGCGTCTGGTCCTCGACAAGTATTTGCAGCACGAAGAGACTGAGGTATGTGTACAGCGCCGCCCTCGCACTCCTGTGTGCATGCTGGAACATGTAGCTCGTCAAAGAGAGGTACGCGCTGAGGGGGGATGGTGAGGCTGCTGCGGCGTCGGACGAGGCGTTGGGGGTAGATTTGACGAGGTTGAAGCAAAAGACTTTATTCGCGTTTGCGAAGTCGTAGACAGAGAGGAGGATGCCGATTTCCGGACCAGGTCTGGGAAAAGGGGAGGAAGAGATGTTAGCTGTGGGCATAGCAAGCAGAAGCAGAAGAAGAAGAGGACATGTTACTCACAATGCAGCAAAGAGGCTCTTTGCCTCTTCAGGGGCCGCCGGTGTTGGCGTCGTTGGCCTACTCCCACTCCCCGCCAGCGCCCCCAAGCCAATATAACTAAGTGTAGATCCCAGACTCCAACCTTCGGGCATATCATCTTGCACAGCTACATAGCTATCTCTCAGCTTCCTACACGTGTCGCCGAAACAGCTCACCATGTCCTGTATGATGGCGTCGTTGACAAAGTCGTCGAGACGCAGGCGATACGGGTTTTGAAATTCGAATTTGTTGTAGTTTGTGAGGAGGCCGAGGAGGTAGAGGGCGGGGACGACTTGAGGGGTCGAGGGACAGTCGGAGATGTACTGTGTGGATTGCTGAGTTAATTTGTCCATGTATATATATATATATATATATATATACAACGACCTAACATACCTTCATGAGACTCGGAAACAGATCGCGATGCGTAAAGTAACTCGGCAGCGCAGTCTGAAAGCCAGCGGCGGTTATACTCAGCGTCGCTCGAACGGCCCTCAGGCGCAAAGCAACTGCCATGTCGATATCAGTATCGATAATCCTTGGGGTCTTGACGATAAAACATACCATCACGTCCACCCCGTATAGCCGTATCCAGCGTGGCTACAAAATCCGTCATGACGGCGTCCGCATCGTTGAGCCCCGTAAGAACAGATATGATGTCGGAGCTAGGATTCGTGTATTTCTTGGTAAGAGCGGCATCGAGGAAGACTGTCAAGGTCTAAGCGGTAAGCGCATGGAGATTGGGTGTGGACGTTAAGGGCAAAGAGCGGCATGGTACCTCGAGGGCGATTTCGTCGGCGGGTGCTTTTGCTTGCTTGACGCGGAGGAGGGCGTGGCGGAAGAGTTGCTGTGAACGCGCTTGCTGGTGGAGCATCTCGTCTGGCGCAATCGAGGCCAGTGTGCGCTTCAGGCCGGCTGTATCGGGGCGGTGGAGAAAGAATTCTTGCCAGAATCCCTCGGACAGTTCGACATCTTCGTCATCTTCCTGGGGCGCCCCTTTGCATTAGCACACTGCTGGCGCAAGTGGGCGGGAGAGGGAGAGAGAGGACACACTTTGAATAGGGTTTCGTAGAGGGATATGATTTTGGGCTGGAATATTTCAGGCCGCGAGTCCTGGGTTAGAGGGGATGGCTCCATGGTAGGACGCTTCCGCGCTCTCTGCAGCTTATGTCGGGGTGGGATGCTGCAGGGTCAAGCTTCAATCGCAGTAGTTGCAGAGGTGTCGCGTCGCGCAATATGGGGAACTAGCGGGCCGTTGGGCGATCGGACGCCGATAAGCCCCACCATTGCACGTGTGAAGACTTGATAGTCATAGTCGTTGTATGTCGCCCGTAATTTAAATAGACAGTGTGCTACAGAGCTTGCCATTGGAGAGACACGTCAGAAGCACGGCGGAAAAGAAAAGTTGTAAACATGCCGTCACCCCTTCTCATCGGCATCTCAGGACCCTCTTCATCTGGCAAGACAACACTCTCTCGCCTACTCCGCGACATATTCCCGCCATCAAAGCTATTCATTCTACATCTCGATGACTTTTACCTCACCGACGCCGAGATTCCGGTCAAAAATGGCGTCCAGGATTGGGACTGCATAGAGTCGCTCAACCTACCTGCACTCCAACAAGCCCTCCAACACATCAAAGAACATGGAAACAGCCCAGACTGGTTAGTCAGTCAGGAAGATCAAAACAGCGTCGGAGAACACGGTGTACCTGAAGCTGAGATTCAGAAACTGAGACAGGATGTATCGACGTGGCTGGGTAGTAGTACGCCGGGGTGGGAAGAAAGACGCATCTGCATCGTCGATGGCTTCCTCCTCTTCTCAGAAGACATGAAGGACATACGCTCCCTATTTGATGTCAAACTCTTCCTCCGCACTTCCTACGAGACTGCGAAGCGCAGGCGCGAAGCGCGGAGTGGGTATGTAACTATTGAAGGGTTCTGGACAGATCCACCGGGGTATGTCGATGATATCGTATGGCCGAATTACGTCAAAGATCATAGATTTCTATTCAGGGGCGGGGACGTGGACGGGGAGTTGGACGAAAGTGTTTGCGAGAGTGTTGGAATATGTGGCATGCCGAGGGAAGCAGAGGGGGATATGACGCAGTGTTTGCGCTGGGCAGCTGGGGTATTGAGGCGAGTGGTCAAGGGAACATGAAGGCAGTTTTGAAGATTGTATTATTATGCCTGTATGCATATCACTTTGGAGCTCTTTTGACCACAAAACACGACATGCTCCAATTCCGAACCAGATTGTTAATATCCGTCAACGCCAGTGCGCCGTACGACCATGCGTCCAGACCTACCAGCCATGCAGAAGTGATGATACACAGATGACAAAGCGAAAAGGCTGACCTGTTAAAGCTCGAAATTACTCATTCCCCTAGGTGCTGGACTTGACCTTGTCAATATAGGCTTGTCCCGGGCTCTCATAAGTAGGCACAAAGAAGGTGTTGATCTGAGCTTCTTTGGAGAGCCACGTAGTCATTTGACTAAGCTCCTCACGCAAGCGCGTGACAGCCTGGTGGTCCATGTTGGTCTGCGCGATGAGTTCGGGCATGGTAACTGCGTCGCTCTCGTTAGCCGAAGATCAAGCTTCTCCTAGTCGTAAAAACACATACCCAGAAGACGCAAGAGGTGCTCGCCGCCGTAGATGTCCGCCAATGGTTTCCCAGCAAGCTCATCAGTCGGTTGTTGGATGCGAGACCAGATGTCGTAGAATTGCTCACGCTCAAAGCGGTACAGAAGAAGACGACCAACACTCTTGTTGAAATACTCTTTTAGTCCTGCTATGACTTCTTCGAGAATGTCGCGCTCGATACTGGTGCGGTTGCTGTTGTCATTGACGTGCTTCATGTATTCGTCTAATATGACGCCTGCAGGATAATTCGCAGGAAGCTGCACTAGCTGTAGGTTCTTAGTGATGTTCTCCCAGTCGTCGACTAGGAGACTCTTGAGCCTGTCTGGCATGTAGATCCTGACTGCTAGCTTGTTCTGGAATGCTTCTTCCTGGGAAGGGTCAGGAATTCACTCTGAGTCGCCAAAATGCTAAGATACATACCTTCTCTAGGTCGTTGTCGCGAACCCTCTTCTGACCGCGAGGGGCAGCAGAGACGGAGGTTTGGCGCTCTTCGCTACCGCGTGCCGAACCTTGCGCCTTCTTCTTTGCTGGTGCGGGCTGCGCCCTTGCAGCACGCTGGGCAGCTAGCATCTCGTGCCTGAGGTTGTTGGCCAACTCTCTGTTCTCAGGCGACAGTTTGCGAAGCCGATCCTCAGGAACCCAGTCATCCCAGCTGCGAGGTGTTAGCAACTGGACCCAACGCCAATCCACGACTCGTTGGATGCTTAAATTAGGAGTTCGAGATGGAGTGAAGATAGATAAATGGCAGTGGTGTTGTACATGGATTGAGAGAGTGAAGTGTACACGCGGACAAACGTGACTTCCGCAGTGAGGAGCGGAACGATGGGCGAGCGGAGAAAGTCTCAAACAAAGCGAAGATACGTACGTGTTCTTCCAGCCCTTGTAGTGCACCCTATATTCGAAGCCATTCTTCTTGTCTTCCTCTACTGGTCGCGCTTCAAGTATCTTGGCCTCGTACAGCAACTCATGATGAAAACAGAAGACTTTCTCGTCCTTTTTGAACGCAGCCTCTGGAGCGGCTGCAGGCGCCATGATTGCGATGAAATGCGATGGATCTGGTGTTGATGTGTTTGGTAGTCAGAAAAGAAAGCGGTCAGGGTGCTGGAGATTGCACGTCCAGGTAGCGCGTCCCTATGGGAGTGATGACAGTCAGACAGAGATGCTCAGCAGCGCAAAACACCAGTTCCCGTTGCCTGATTAATGTAAGCAAGTCGATGAGCCTGGTAATAGATGGTCCAGTCGATGTTTGCTTAGAGTCGTCGAAGGCACGTCTCACGGGAGTTTTCTGGGCACGGGCCAGCACGCGTCGCGCTTTCCGATGAGCCTCCTTCGTTGGGCGATCCTACCACGATCACTGCCTCACCAATCACATGTATGAGTTGCATTCCATCTGAACATAACGTCTCCCACCATAATCATGCCGTCGCAAGAGGCCAAGATTCTCGGTGACTTCCTCCTCGCCCCTGCTCCCTTGCGCGACTTCATCACCCTACGCGACTTTACCGACATCTTTCCCCGCGCCCACCGGTCCAACCCCGCTGTACAAGAGATTTATCGCGAGCTTCAGAGGATACGCGACAAGGATGTTGAGCTCGTCCGTCAAGACATCATCGACGAGGTCAAACGGTCCAAGCAGCTGAGGCGGGAGTATGCGCGGGAGAAACGCCAGATAGACGATGCCACCGTCGCTGGACTGGACCCCGTTGCGCTTCAAATGGAGGAGGAGGTAGCTCGTTATACCAAAGAGACTACTGAGACCCGTGCTGACCTCATCGCCAGATTTCCGGCCAAGTTCGTAAGAAACCGCACACCCTACAGACGGTCCACTCCGACATCGACGAAGCGTGCCAAAGCCTTGAGGCTCGGATTGCAGAGATGGAGCAAGAGAACAGAATAGCCTTGACAGAAGTTCAAGACGTTGTGGGCGCACTCAGTGAATTGCGCCATGGCCGGTTTGCCCCATCATCCAGCGGCGAGGGCATTGGGGAAGAGGTCATGGCAACGCTCAAGCGACTTGAGGCCGTATGCGACAAACCGGGGGGATGACAATACGACACTCCTGCATATTGTGTCTCACGTACAAGGCGTTGTACAGATGCAAACAGTGTGCTGATGGCTAGGCACTTTGGTCCTTGACTGAATAACAGACATCGCATGCGTGGACCGGCAATCTCGCACATCCGTCGCGCAAGCTGTAGGTGACGTCGCGCCCTGGATAAACATTGCACATCGAGTAGCTTTCCGTCCGAACCAAGGTCACGACCGACGTACCCAGGACACATCGGCGCGCATGAGGCGGGAAGGCAGCTTTGCTACACTCTTCGCTGTTTGAGAATTTGCGCTCCTCATACCATCTTCCCTTGGATGTATGTCGGGACATATGCAGCATGATGACATGTTGCCAGTTGTGAGTTTTGGATCGTTCATTCCTTGGCGTATCGACTATGCAATCCGCCGTCCGAGAACGTGACAAGCACTACAACAGCATGATAGACCTAATCACGGCTTTAGAAGAATCACCTCGCTAAATAGCATCATTCCGCCGTCCAGGCTAGCAGCCCCGCGTGTATAGAACTTGAGCGACCCGTGATTGGCTACACGAACGACCGCAATTAATATATGTATATGAACAGCTTCAATCCCGCAACCCGTGGCAACTAGTTTCCGCAACAGAGATCTGTCTATACTACGACCTCTACACGTGTCCAGTTGAAGATGGGTGACTTATACCGCGTTGTAGTCCGGTCCTTTGCAATTCCTCTGTCGCCTTCCATGTACCTGTCGCAAACATGATGCTTCACTCACTTCTAGCAGTACTCGTCTCTCTAACCTCCTGGACACCGCCGGTATCTGCCTCGCTCAGGATAACAGCTAACCACCATTCCTTTGGCGGTGTCAACTACCCACAACTCCAATTCTTCGCCCCCCAACACCGCGATGACAGCATCCGTGAAATCGTCAAAAGCGGCGCGCGAGTAATCCGCCTATTCATCCGTCCAGATGCCCAACACCCGGACCCAGAAGGCGAGCTAGGCGGCTTCGACAAATCTCTCTTGGACCAATTCGACGATACACTAGCCGCCATCCACCATCTGTCAAAGGGGCAGGTCAAAGTCATCATCGCACCTCATGACGCGCATGCGCTTCGCGGCTCAAACGACGTTCCCTGTGATGCCTACTGTCAGAAACTCGACGGAGCCTTTTTAGATTTCTACAGCAGCGAAGAGTACCGCAATCTCTACAAAACACGCCTCGAAGTCTTCTTCAAACACTACCCTTCCAGGAATTTTGATGGGCGGTCCTGGGGCTCACTCTCTGAAGTCATTTTGGGTGTCGATCTGCAGAACCAGCCATTTTCTGGCATCAGCCCGATACCGTCTGGCGAATCCTGGCTCTGTGATATGGCCTCGTATCTGAAATTTAGCATCGGGCTTGATAGCGCTGGTATTGCGGTCATCAGTGGTGGGGTCTCTGGACCACAAAGTGTGGATGGAAACGAGAATTTCCCGGACAGTGTCTTCGACTGCAAGGCTATTGACATCATTGGCATCCATGGGTATTTTGACAAGACGGCGGAGAGAACGGCGGGGACGCCGTGGGCGGAAATGTTCTTACCGGGGAACACGCTGACAGGGAGGGCAATGGGCAAAGGGAAGAAAGGAAAAGAGGGCAAATTATTGTTGGTGGAGGAATGGACATATGTGCACAACTCCGACTTTGGCTTGTTCTACAAGAAGGAAGCGGTTTTTGATCAGGGGAATGCGCTGAATTATCGGGGAATCCCTTGGGTACGTGGCCTCATCACTCACTAACGACCATCTTTTTCAAAGGAAAAAAAAAAACATGCATCACGATGTTAACGAAAAGGAATTCTAGATATACTCTCACCTTACCACCCTTTCCGAGGGAAAGACTTCGCGTATCAACCCCATCCATCCCACCTACACCACCTGGACCGCCCTCACGGACGTTCTCAAACGCTCGGTGACAGCCCGTAGTAACTTCAACTGGACCAAGTACCTACCCCCACCCGTCTCCATCATCCCGCCTTCCGCCGACGAAAAAACAGCGCAGCACCTCCAAGCCATGCTCACCGGCTCCAACAATCAAGAATGGAAATTGAAGCCCCTGGGTCTTTCCAACGTCTCAAGCGTAGTCTTGAACCCTTACATCATCGAGCAGAGCGATTGCACATTCGGCTGTCTCGGCCACTTGTGCGACGCAGCGGAATCGTGCTCACCGGACCTTTTGTGCAAGAACAGTGTGTGTCAGCCGTATTCCGAGACACAGCCTGGTAGAGTGGGGGAGCGGTGCAACAGTAAAGCAGTTTGCCAATCGCATCTGAGGTGTGATGAGAAGCAAGGCACGTGTCAAGCGTGTTCTGCGCGTAGCACGATACAACCAGCGAGAGAGAAACGAAAAAGGACAATCGAGGGCGACGAGATTGAGGTACCACCACAACAACAGCGGGGATTAGTGCAGCCAAATGATCCAAACGGGTCGTGCTACACAGACTCTCTAGAGCATCTTTTCCACATTACCCGCCTCCTCGAGTCTACAACCACCACCATCACTTCATCCTCCTCCTCCTCGCCCTCTCTCAACACATGCCTTTCACCGTCCCACCATGCCTCTCCATGTACATCGCCACTGCACTGTTCGGCCGACGAATACTGCTCCTGGGGCTCCTGCGTCCCCTGTCTATCCACAGACACGTGTCTCGGCGCCCCGTGTCGGAGCAACAACGTATGTAAAACAGGGTATTGCAACGACTACGGCCGGTGCGACTATGTTCCCGACGCGTCGAAGAAGAAGAGTAGTGGACCGGGGGGTGCGAGGGGAAAACGGTGAGTTTGCCAAACACCCACCTTTTTACTAGACAGGGTTATCATTTTTTTTTCAAAGGAAGAGAAAAGGATAGCATAAGGTCTAGATGAAGATGGGGACTGGACTGGCAATGCGTAGTCAGTTCAACGGCTAATGATACGTAGGAATTCGAGGATCGCTGGCGTGCCAAAGGGACATGAGCGCGGGCCGGCGAGAGTGAGGGATGAGACAATGAGGATCAATATACCAAAAGAGAAGGTTGCTGAGACTGGGGGCCCTGCTGCTACTGCTACAGCATAACGTTCGTGTTGCTGTGGGAAGACTTTGACATTCGAACGTATATTTGTGTAAGCATCATCATCATCGAGAGAGAGACGTCCACCACCGGTCCCCACTTATACAACAATTTGCATTGTAGACAAATAGATTTGGTTATAAAGTATGAAACAAGAAGATTATTTACTTTGGTTGGGGTATCGTAGCCTCCATAACTCCGTTTTTTGTGTATGTAGCAGATTGCCTGCTCCAAATCCTCCTTCCTCCTTGGTGTGTCAGATGATGCGATATGACGGAATCGTCTTCGTAACTCGTAGATGGCATGCATAGTACGATGCTGCTGCAATGAGCCGTGTCGTCAACCTAGCATCGAGCGAGAAAACATGCACCACCTCCACCCCATCATGGCCGATTACTCTCGTCGTAATTCGTGAATGTGCATGCACAACATGTTTCTTACGCAACGGACCATCTCCTCAGAACTCTTTGACGTCGAACGCGATGTTAGTTCGAAGTCTCCCAATCAAGGACACATCACCTCGCAACCACATGGCACGTATTAGCCAATCACGCCCCGATATCTCTCATTCCCCTCAATCAAGCCTTCCAAAAAGTTGGCAGCCTCGACAAGAATCTGGCTCTTACTCAACCCCCCACCCCTCACGGCAGGCACAACCTCATTCAAGTCCTTGTACCCCTGCTTAATCAGATCCCTCCGCTTCTGCTCCGACAAGATGTGATTATTGCGTTTCTGTTCTTCGGTCAAGTTCTCGCGATGAGTCTTTTGCGTCGTAGTGGCAGGTGCCCGCTTCTTCTTGTTGTTCGTGTTGTTATTGATGCTGGTGTCTTCGGCCATGGTCGCCATTTTCCGCGCCTTACCATTCCGCACGGCTTTTTTGGGCGTGACGTTGCTATTCCGTGCTTGGCTCTTTTTCCGCTTCTTTGCTGGGCGGTCAGAGGATTCGTCTTCGGATGTTGCTTCGTCGGATCGTTCGTCGTCGTCGTCGCCGCCACCGCGCTGTCCCAGTTTGTATGCAGTAGGAGTCGTGCTCGGCCCTTGGATGCCTGCGACGGCTCGTAGTATGTGGTGTGAAGTCTCCTCGAGATCTTGTATCGACGCCCTTGCCGCACTCTCTTCGCTTGGATGACCGTTCGGCCCCGAGTAGCCGGATGGGCTGCCGAAGGAGTTGTCTGTGCCAAAGGCGTATGACCTCTTCAAGTCCACCTTCTGCAGCGGGGGACCGAATTCGGCTTGGTGCTGTTGCATTGCTTTGCTCGATGACCATTGCGGCGCAAAGTGGGCGTCCATAGCTGGCGTGCTGTGGTTGGGAACCAGAGCGCCCAAGCGTTCGTGTAAGAGCCCATGCTGCGGACCCAAGGGCAGAGTACCGGCATTCAGATCATGGACAGGATTTGTGGGGAATGTGTTGGACGTGCTCGGCAAGCCATGGAAGCTGTGTGAGCGGCCGTTGGCATAGGATGGCTGTGCCTGGTTGAAGAGAGCCGTGGCTGCCTGGAGCTCATCTTCGGTATTGCCCAGAAAGTTTGCGTGTCGGTATTGTTGGTCTTGGTGGAAGCTGTTCTGGGGACGGGCTTGGTCTGGTATGGTGCTAGTGACTCGATGTACTGTCGGCGGGGCTATGAAGTCCTCCCAGTTGTTGTAGTCGTGGGCGCTCGCTTTGGCGTCGAGGGCGGGTGGCAGTTGGTGCGAGTCGAGCGAGTCGAAGGGGTTGGTTAGAGAGAAGAAGTTGTCGAGCTGCTGGTTCTCCATGTCGCTGAGAATGGACTGGCCATTGTTGTCGTATTGCGAGGGGGGGTTGTCGAAGAAGTCGTTTGTGAAGGTGTCTGCTCGGTCAGCCAGTGACGTGTGATTAGTAGCAGTGCAACGTACAGCCAAATGGCGGCGGATCTTTGTCGTTCATGGCGGGACGTGGGAGGCCTCTGGCCGTAGCACCCGCGAGCCCCGCGAACGACTGATGCGACAACGCCTCCAGCTTGAGTCGTTGCCGTGGTGGTGAATAAGGCCGAGCGACAGGCGACCGTCTACCGTGTGTCGGCTTGGCCGGGCCCAGGAGTGGCTGGATCGAGACTGGCGACCAGGCTCTCGAGTGCTTATGCGTCTAGAAGCGTCGAGATTGGTGTTGTGCAAAGCTGTTGGGAGAGTCGCGCGCGATATGACGTGAGGAACGAGCATTCGCAAAGGGCCGCTTGTTGCGCAGCCGGCTTCAAATACGCCGTGTCGATGAGCAGTCGCATTCCCGGAAGGCGCCGACCATGAAGCCAGGTGATGTACGCAGGAGTGAGAGACTCGGGTGAGAGAGTTCAAGTGGTTGCATGCGTCCTGTTGCGCGTGAGAAGTTCACCTTCACATGCCAGCGGATTCCTTGCGCCCACCTGCCCACTAGCGCCGAACGGCTCGCTTGCTCCTTCCCTGCCACCCATCTGCCAAGTTCTCCGAGATGACATGCATTCCCTCTCCACATCTCGGAATGCGTTCCTGGGCTACTCTATATTGGCAGGAACGCATTCGAGTCTAAACAGCCTTCAACTTCTCATGTAACAAGGCCCTTTACACGCATGCTCCTCCATGTTCATTCTGCTCCCCTTCATCTCGGACAAACCTTCTCACCGTCTCTCCGCGATCCGAGTGCGCCTAAAGGCCAAGAAGGGCAGCTCCTCCGTGAGTATTTTGACTGGCGCCCATTAGTTTGCTGCGGTCCGAAATGCTGCAGTGGCGTCAAACGACTTTCTTCTCCTTGGCCGAACCTACCGTAGTTCCCGTCCGATCACCTCTAGGTTTGGCCATCCCAGGGGTCAATCTGGGGAAATCATGGCTGTTTCTACAACCTATCCCCTTGCATCTCACAGCCTAGAGTCATGGACAACGGTGTTTCCGATTTGACCCGTAACTTCTCCTCACTCTACATCGATGCAGCGATCGTCTTGTTCTCTGCCTCGGCTGCCTCGCAGCATCGATCTACAGTGGTCATATCGGAGAGCCCGAGGCTCGTACGACACTAGACTTGCTTCGGTTTCCGAAGAGCAGCTGTTCTCCCCATACTTTGTCGGTGGTTATGGATCCTTCCCTCATTCTAGAGCTCGAGGGCTTTCTTACGTCGCGTCGAAGCCTTCCTTACTCACGCGACAGCAGTTCAGACCCAACGTCCCGACTTCACCATTGGCGTCCAACTTGCCAGCCAGGCATTGCCTTGGGATCCTCAAGGTTACGAATGATGGCGGTTCTCGCATCTGACCGCTCAGTATGTAAAGCTCGTCGGTATGCAAGGTGCATACCGTATCCGTCTACTACAGTGCCCGTGCGTTGGATGATCACCAACGCTGGATGATCACCCCCACCACCACCACAACAAAACTTCAACGCGTGATAACTCAACCAATATGGATCCGATTCAGGAAGCGATTGAAGAAATCGAATCGCGCAACCCAGGAGATGAATTCTCGTACCAACAAATCGCGAAAAAGTACAACATCAACCGTTGTACGCTCGCCCGAAGGCACAAGGGTCTGCAAGAGGCATATGGCGTACGCCGGCTCTCCCTTCATCCACAACACGAAAAAGAGCTTGTACAATACGTCGATACGCTTACCGAACGACGTTTGCCACCTTCAAGGGAGATGATACAACGCTTTGCTTCAAGTTTGGCTGGAAAAGAGGTTTCTGAAACCTGGGTTACCCGGTTTCTCCACCGTCATCCCGACTCCCTCATCTCCGCGTACAGCAAGGGATTGAACAAACTTCGTTGCAACGCCGATTCAGGAGCCAAGTACAGCTTGTATTTTAAGCTTTTAATTAAAAAGATGGAGGAGTACAACGTCCAATCATCCCATATATTCAATATGGACGAAAAGGGGTTTCAACTTGGAAGGATTGGCAGAACAAAGCGTATCTTCTCTAAGGCACGTTATGTGAAAAAGGGGGTACGCCAACCGCTTGAGGATGGCTCAAGTGAGTGGATTACCGTTGTGGCTTGTATTTGTTCGGATGGGAGCGCTTTGAGTCCTTCTCTCATCTTCAAGGCAGCCAACGGAGCTATACAAACCAGCTGGGTTAATGCTGTACAAGCAGGAAACCATTCAGTCTTTACTACGTCATCACCCTCCGGCTGGAGCAACAACGATATTGGGTTACATTGGCTCAAGGAGGTGTTTGAAAGACAAACTAGGCGGCATGCTTCAACTGGGTATCGATTACTACTCCTTGACGGCCATGGATCTCATGTTACAATGGACTTTATCAATTATTGTCACGATCACAAGATCCTGTTGGCTGTATACCCGCCTCACGCTACCCATACGCTTCAACCACTTGATGTGGTGATGTTCAAACCTCTGGCAAACGCTTACTCAGCTAAGTTAACTCAATACCTTCAAGACGGCCAAGGGATACTCAATATAACCAAAGGAGACTTCTTCCCGCTCTTCTAGAGGTCCTAGAACAAGGTTTTCAAACCTCCCCTCATCAAGAGAGCGTTTGAAGCAACTAGGATACACCCACCCAACCCAGCAGTTGTACTCGACAAGTTTGCCAAGGAGGGGTCAGATTCAGAAGCCAGTTCAACCTCTGTACTCTCCGGGGAGGATTGGCTCAAGTTGAAGTCAATTGTACGTCAGGAGGTGAGGGATCAAAGCAGTAAAGGGGTCAGGAAGCTTCAACGAAGTTTACACCACCTTGCAGCTCAAAATACACTCCTCCACGGCGAACTCAAAGGCCTCAGGCAATCTCTAGCCATCAAGAAGAGGCGAGAAACCAAGTCCTATACCCTACAGCTTGAGGATCATCCTGAGTATCATGGGGGAGCTATTTGGTGGTCACCAACAAGCGTCAAACGAGTTCGTGATAACAAGATACAACAACAACAACAAGCCGAGCTTGAAAAGCTTCAAAAAGCCGAGCAAGCCGAGGCAAGCAAAGCAGCTCGTAATTGTGAGCTTCAACTCAAAGCTGCGAGGCGTGTTGAGCGGGAGAAGGGTTGGGAGGAGACTAGAAAGCGGAAGGCCGAAGAGAAAGCCGAAAGAGAGCATCGTAGAAGCCTCCGCGACGCTGCCAAAGCTATACAATTGCCCCAATCGGGTAAGCGCAAAGCTTCAAAACCTCATAAGCCAGCTACAAAGCGTCAAAAGCGTGGTGGTGTTGCTCTAGCTGTGGTGGGAGCCGCAAGGGGTGCACCAGCTGTTCTACCGCGTAGTCGCCGTGATCGCGTGATAACGCCCTCCAAAAAAAAATCTGAATAAGCCAAAACTTTCGTAGGCCTATATATAGTATAATCCCAGCTTTGCGCAGTTTTATCACGATTTGTTGTGGCTGTACAACCTCATCTTATTGATGATATTGAGTTGTTGAGGGTGATCATCCAGCGTTGGTGATCATCCAACGCACGGGCACTGTAATGGAAACACACCATGCTTTCAGGATGTGTCAAAAACCTTGAGCAGCAACGTACATCCAGCGTCCTCTCTAATACTAGCTTTATACTAGCTTTACCTTCATATGCGTCGAACCGAACGCATTCCCCTAGGCGCAGGTTGCTGCTATAACGTGTAAGCTGGCATGCATGGACAGCCAATCTACATCACCTCTGCCTAGCCCGATCGGGTCCATGGCGCGAATTTGCCATAAATTTACCAAGTTTGAACCAAGCCAGCACCAAGATACACAGTCATCACCAAGATACTTATACCAATCAGACTTGGAATACCACCGACCATAACCGAAATGGGTTGTTGTGTTTATTAGCTCAAACCCGCTCTTAAATGAAAGCAATGTCACCGTTCAAGACATCTTTCTATACTGAACTTGCCCAGCATATCAACAGCCTTCGGTCTTCTTCACCAGAATTGACGCCATGGACTATTATACCCTTCTCATCATTTTCTTGGTCATTTTCACGCTAGCACTCTGTCTTTTCTGGAGCCCGCCTCCAGTGCTGCGAGAACCAGCATCAGCGACGCTGCCTCCGACTTGTCAAAAGCATCACCCACGGCCGAACAACATGGTCTGAGACCATCTTCTATCTAGGACGACACGAACCTGCCACTTTTTATGCCATTTGGTAAGAAAATCGACGACGATATTCAAGCCACCAGAATACGATCAGGCCTACCATCTTGAGCATCCTACGTTAGGCCTTTTCTGGTCAAAATTGCGAGTCCACAACATTTAACCCCACCAACCTACGTACGCACTCACGACACCGCTTACTTGCGCAGCGAGGATAGTGCCGCCGACAACCTACGACGACCGATGGCTTACGACGACTGATAAATACTCTCAGTAATCAGCCAAATCGCCTTTCCAAAGAAGACAAAGCTGTGATGTGTCTGGCATATATGAACTACCATGTCCGCAACGATTTCTGATCACACCTATTATGAACTTAGATATCATTGCTCTAGTCATCATTATCCTAATCTGGTTCACTATGGCATTATGCTACGTCTGGAGACCACCACCACCACCGCATTCGTCAACGCCACCCATCTCACAACGCCGCTCATCAAATCGCAAGTTCCGAAAGCCGTGCCAGAGAAATCGCGCACGACCCCCCTTGCTATCAACGATACATGAAACTGTATATCGGGAGGATACGTCAGCGATGGAAATACCATTAAACGACCTAGACTTCGCCGCAGAGCCAAGCAGCAGATCATCGAACTTACCCGGCCAAGAACAAGAACAAGGATAAGATGACTAGATGACGTTACCGCAATGACTGTAGGGATCGAGGATAGCGCGTGGATGTTTGTGATGCGTTGGAGGTTAAGACAGGAAGGACATGGGAGAACGGACAAGGAGGCAGGTAGAACGATGCGATTCTGCAGTGACGATGCATCGAAGGCGATATAAGCAGGATCATAGACGGAGTATATGAGGATCGCGAACGGGGAAGGCGTTGACCCTTCAAACTCTCACTCCACTTAGATTCAAGAGTAGTCTAGCGACTCCGTGTCTATATCGTGCCAGTGCTAAACACCTCAAGTTTCATGAACCGTTCATATGCCCCAACTACAGCCTTCTGATCCCCGCAGCACTCTTCGATAGTACATTCGACCTCGCCATCCTAGCAGCTTTCTCCTCCTCCGAGCCTCTAACAAGAACCTGTCTTTTGCCCAGCCCCAACGAAGACGAACAAGGAGAATAATCAACACATGACGAGCCTCCTGGACAAACAGCAATAGCGGCCCCAGCAGCACACGCTTGTCCACTTGGACAGTCTCCATCCGATTGACACGATGCACCACAGCTAAAGGCCACATTGCATATGCCATATTGAAAGTCGACGCCAACAGGCTGCTGTTTACGAACATCACAGAAACAGTTGGCTGAACATCCGCCCGCCCCCTGATTCATGCCGCCATCTGAAATGCAGACTGGACCGAGGAAGCTGTTTCGTAGTCGTCAGTTCAGTCATCTTCGACGACTTCCTGGACGATGGACTTACGTAGGCAACACTGTTACTGTCGCGACAAGAGTAGTGATAGTAGCTGTGTTTGTTACAGTTGTGGTTATTGTTGGTGTAGTCGTTCTGCCGTTGGTGTGAGCGGTAAAGTGTAGTGTGGCATGTAGTCTGACTTACACTGAATTTGTCTGTGTAGCAGACAATGTAGATGTGCCAGTGACGCTGACAACGGTGGAAGGAGTCGCAGTTACCGTGGATGTCTTGGCTGTCTGGAGACAACTACAGACCGTTCGTACGAAAGAGGTCGCTTGGGCGACGAGACTGCTGAAAGCTGCAGCCTTTGCGTCTATAGTGGTTGTCGATGGCTTATTCTTCGGTCCAGTTCGGGCTTCGACGTCGTCGCGCTTTTTTCGTTGAGGCGGGAGCGCGCCAGTCACTGTGCTCGTGCTAGAGATGGTTGACGTAACGATAAGAACATTCGTCTCAGTTACCGGAGGTGCGGTGATACTTTGACATATGCTTCAGCGTGTGAATTCATCCGGACCACCAGAATACTCACGTGAAAGTACCAGTACCGACAGTCGTTGTCGTGGTCACTATTGCGATAGTAGTGGTTTTGGTCGATATTGGCGCTGTCACTGTGCTTGTGACGACGGGTAGAGGATATTTACTGGAACAAAATGTTTGTGCTGGTTTGTATTGGGCAAGACCAGATGCAACCAGTCCATAGAGCCCGCCGGGACAAGGGCTAGCTGCGTTAGCTGCCGGTAGAGTAATCGACAGCAGAGCGGAAAGTAGAGCCCTGCGATATCTCGGCATGGTGGAAGCAATTGAACTTTTGTAATTGTATGAAGATGACAACTGATGTTCAGCGAAGCAAACGTATTCTAGCTTGGCTTATTTATACCATGAATAGCACCAGAGTATGCCCTCGACCCGCTGGCTGCAACAAACGTGCAACACATGATTTGCGTAGGTTCGACTGAACACTCGACTCAGCCAGCCACCAAAGGTCTCGATGTTTGAAGCGCCTTCTAGACACGTTTACTTGCGTACTAAGGAAATATACGACTAGTAGCCTGCGTGTTAGTCCACTGTTCAAGCTAGCAGCCTGGGGTAAGGTACCACGACCAATACCCGGATCCACCGATGCTCTGGCTAGTTTCCCTTTAAACTAGACCAAGAACGAAAAGACAGTCTAGTGACTTGGTGGCGACAATTGTGTGGCCCATAAGTGGCTTTTACTGTTTTCAGAGTCACAGCTACATCAAGGTGAATAGCGTGTCAACACTGCCTTGGCATACTAAGAACCCGCAGACTCTTCTTTGATATTACTTGAATGGTCTGTTTAGTACGATACCGCAATACTTCTATGAGCAACAACCCCATCCGCGAGCATTGTAAAACGAACACGCACCACGCCGCCATGTGCTCGTCGGCAAGCGAACCAAAGCACTGGAGTGAGCAAGTCTACAACCTCCTCTTTTGGCAAGAGGGGCTTGATTTTCGTTGATCCTGGTACATGGTCGCACGGGATGGTCTGGATCCGAGGCTGATGTCTTCTTCTGGATGTAGTAGTATTGTACTAGGCCACTTTTGGCCGGCACACCTTATCTTAGTTGGCGTTATCTCTACCAAGATTGCATGGAGCTTGAGAAACTCTACTGCTAGTCAGCCCTGCGGAACGCGCCATACCCGCTCGCATCCACTTGCATCAGTCGTGTACCGTGCCGTACATTGTTCCGGCTTCCTGGACACGTGGTGAAGCGTGGCCAGAGGCAGATTCGGGATGAAAGTTGGATTTTGGACGCGTTAGCACTCATGGTTAGCTGGGTCTGTGTACAGCCTTGCCGCCTGAAGCGCTTGGATGATCACGAGCTAGCGGTGCGAGCTGCATTTTTCGCCTCCTACAGTTTGTTCTCGATGCTGTCAGAGAGAAAATCTTGTCATTCTGTGCTTCTTGTAATGGAGAATGACCTTGCGGGACTGTTACCATATATTGTCCTATGCGCACTATCATTTTCTATACGTAGTGTTTGCGTTGGGTAGAATGAGGACATACATCGAGATTGCAATGTTGACAACGAGAAGGATGGAAGTCTGAAGCACCAAGAGTACAAGCATACAGTAACATCCCTAACAGATTATCTGTCTTCTTTAGGTCTAAACCCGGATGGTTTTACCAAACCAACTGCCAAGTGACTTGAGACTCTACACTTTTACCCGGAAGCCGCATGTTCATACCCAACCTCCAATCCATCAGTCTCCTAATCTCGTGACCTCCTGTCACCTTGATGCAGTGTAGCATCTGGTGTAGTTGCGATAGTTGAAACAGCAACATAGCCTGACAATGACCTTAATGATTCTCGTTGAATGGATCCTGGTCCTCGGGTCGCTGAATATGCGCTCGTAGTAATCGACACTGTCGTATTGGCGAACAGTAGTTTGTGCGTTAGACGGACCGGATGGATGCTGCGTGAGTCTTCAAGATGCTGTGGCTGGGTATATCCTCCTCGTAGGTAGCCGAGTCCTTGGCGTAATAGTGATAGGCTTTTGAAGGATATCTTTCTGGTTGGTATCGATTTTTTCGTCGAAGCTCCCGAGCTTCAAACAGCCTCGACCCACCTCATCCAAAGGGCAACAACAACAAGCTCGCACCAATCCCTGCCGCAACAACCATACACGGCACTGCTCCAAACATCTTCCCCGACCCAGCTGACGGAAGCGGCGCCCCCTTCAACTCCATACCCGTCGGCCTTGCTACTACATCCGGGGCATCAAAATATGCATACTTGACCCTTTCCCCATCCTGCAAATTCTCATTCGTAAGCACGCTCGCCTCATTCGGGAAATCCATGATCGGGACACTCGGATAAAAGCCTTTATTCTTGAGAATGTACTGCGCCAACGCATACAAGGCGTAATTCTCCGCGTTATTGGCCGCGTCGTAGCTCATCTGTGTAGAGAGAATGGCGAGGAGTTTGGAGCGCGTGGCGCCGTATGCGTACTTGAGCGTCTGGAAGTCTGTCGGGGTTTCGGGCTGTTCGTTGAGGACGCCGGCGAGGACGGACGTGTTCATTGCGCCTTGGGAGGTGACGAGGAGCCATTCGCTCGTCGAGTTGGGAGGTGCGGGGACGGGGCGCTCGACGACTGCGGTGCCGATGGAAGAGAAGTGCATGACCATGCGTGCCCAGAGTGAGGCGCGGTTGTAGTACTCCATCAGACGATCCTTTTCCATCTGGTTGTCGGCTTTCTTGTTTATGCGGCCGGTGAGGGAATCCATGCGGAAGTAGTCCCGGCAGAAGACGATGTGAGGTTCGTTGCCGATGTTGTAGGCTGCGTGGTCGCCTTCGCGCTTGTTTCCCTTGTCGCAGAGCTTCATGGGATCGTCGCAGCGTATGTGAATGTCCGAGTTTACGGCGCCAATTCCTCCTTCCAGGACGCCGTAGTTTGCCGCTCGTTGGAGGTTCGTGGCTATCATGTCCGTGTAGTTGGCCGTTATTGAGGGGCTGAAGAACTCTCGTGCAGGCTGTGAGGTAGGATCGAAGGGCGTTGCGGCGGCGAATAGACTTGTCATCTCCGAGAAGCCGTCGCGAATGTCTTCGATGTCGGAGAAGTCACAGCCCTCGCCGCCGGTGAGAGCTGTTGCATATGTAGGCCTGCCAGCGCCTTTGTCGTCGCCGATAACGCCATCTGGGCTTGCGTATGCGCGTGTCACGAGGGCGGCGACGAGTATGGGAGGGAGACGTAAGAGTGTGTGGAGCGTGAGCATGTCGACGAAGCCGCCGGGGACAGTTCGGTCGATCGAAATGTTAACGCGAGATGTTGGGAATTGCAAGCATGGAGGCCGTGCCGATCTTTCTCGAAGCTGGAGGAGGATGGTGTTCCTGTGGCAGTGGACCGGGGCGTTCGTCACACGCGAACTGGGCGAAACGGGGGTGTAGAAGCTTCAAGGATAGCCGCACAAGAGGCCGTGACGTTGGATAGGAAAAGTAAAGCGCATGAAGGAGCGCCGGCTGCCGGCAACCATTGCGAGGCTGGCCCCTAGCTTTCCGACCGTGCTTAGACGCGCTGTAACGGTTAGATCTTCCGACACGAGGTACTGAGACGGTAGCCCGGATATGTGACCGACGCTGAATCATGGTGTTGAGCATCAGCCTCTAGGTTGACAACCACGGCATTTCTGGTCCTCGCTAGGGAGGAGTCGGGCTTGAGCGACATGTTCATGACCGCTTGTATCGTGCAAAGTTGCTCTCTGATTGATGTGTTCCTTTGCTGAGGTCGTGTCGCAGGTCACTGAATGAGGCAAGTATCGGCTCGCATGTGAAACACCAAGCATAATGCCAAGACCTGGTCGTGACCACCTCGCCGCGAAACCATCATCACGATCTTATGAGTTGCGACTGACCTACGTAACAAAGCAGCTTTTATGTAGCCTGCATTTCATTTCCAGTGGTACAGTCATAGTACGTCAAAATTAATGGGTCATTGATGGTCAAATGGTTTGGTGGGTCGGACAACGGGAGATCCTTCCGCCAATGCCGACATCGCCTACTCTTTCTATTCTACCAACTACCAACTACCAACTACCAACACCACACTTTTATCAGGTCGCCACACGTCTACCAGGTCAGGGTGTCTCAGCTATGTCTGCTCTACGGGACGCAGAGTGATCGCCGTTCTTCCGTCGATCGAGACTGACAGCTTAGCCTCACCTTTGTGGTCTGCCACCGCAGTCTGTGAGCCCAGCCTGTAAGCTCTACCTGCCTTCATGTTCTTGAAGCCTAGAGTGAAGTTTCCAGCCATTCTTCCATTATAAAGTACTAGTTCGACCGATTCTCCGTCATGCGAATACGCCTTTCCAACGAGGACCTCAGGGAAGGGCACCTGCAGATGTGGAGATACGAAGTCAGTGTATGTCTCACATGCATTTCGCGCAGTCATGACTTGCCTCATCTAGAATTGGAGCGCGAAAGCAGTGTTCTGGCGGCCCATCTTTAAGAAGACTATTCCAATCGCCATGAGCACCTAATCTGCTCCTCAAAGTGTTGATCTGGCCAAGAGTGGATAGACCTTTATTCTTCAGTGCGCCAGTGCGCGTTTCGTACACCGGAAACTGCTCTTCGTCCGTCTGCCGTATCAACTCGTCGCGAATCTTTACATCCCCAAATTCGGTTGCGACGCTGGCCATGGCGACTCGGACATAGCCACGACCACTCCTGTAGTTGCCGGGATCAAGATTGTCAGCGCCAACAAGATTTGTCAACTCGAGATGTCCGTCGTTCGTCCAACACAAGTTTTCCTGCTTCATGATCGCCCAATGGCGATGCGCAACGTGTGGAAGATATGGTCCGCAGAATACACTGGGAGCTACGTCGGAGATTGCGCCTGCAAGTCCAGGAATCGTGAAGCCCGTTAATTCACTTCGAATTGGCAAGATCGTGCCGTCGGCGTTGGAAAACTCGCTGGCTAGGGCCGCTTCGAACCGACCTTTGAGCCTGGTGCCGTAGTCGTTGCTCAGAACCTTGTCAGACGCGACTATGCCACTTATGCCTGCAGATATGGCGATACGAAGTCAGTGTATGTCTCGCATACATCTCGTACAGGTACTACTTACCCACCAAATTACAGAGCGAGTATATCCAGTTGGGCTCGCATGGATAGAGATTGTACGGATTTTGATCCATATTGCGGAAGACGGCATCAGCGATCGAGCCCAAGTCGTATTTGTACCGGGCGCCATCTGTAACAACAAACTCCATTGAGTTCTCCTTGGCATATCGATCATCACGAGTCACGATCTGGTACAGTGCAGCCCC